TGATATGCTAACTTCATACACATACGTTTACCGTAATCTCTCGTTACTGCGAAAAGTAAGCGATTGTCGTGGGAATGGTAAGAATTTAAGTGGTAAGAAAACGAGCTGAGAAAAGTCGCGTCGCGAAATAGGGCCTTGGGTCCTCGGGGACCCCTTCAGGGTTTAAAGACGTCCGGCTCGGCTCGGCCCGGCCCGGCCGGCAGATGCACGTACATAAGAATCATAGATGCGTCGGGCTGTCGTGGAAAGTCGGACTCGGAGTCGAGTCGAGACAGACGTGGCTGGTGGCTGGTGGCTGGTGGCCTGTGGTCGCACACAGACGCATCCGCGCAAGCAAGGGAAGGCAGAGGAAAGAAGGGAGACGATGGCGAGGGCGAGAGAACAGGGAACATAACGCAGGATTTGTCGCGGTTTTCGAGAAAGGCTCGTCGCAGGGCTCTGCGAAGCGCAGGGCTCGTGAAAGCCGTTGACGCATACGACGAGCGACGAGTACAGAGCGTTTCTTTCCCGGAGCGGACTGAGCGGAAGGAAACGTTCTCGACGTTCTCGGCATGAGCCGTGACTCGCCCCCATAGCCTCGTTCGACCTCGACCTCGACGAGTCGACGCGACGCGACGCGATGGGTTGACGTCGCGGCGTCGACGCCGCTACCGAAATCCGCGCTGTCAAAAATCATTACGGTCCTTGCCCTCTGTCGAGCGTCAAGCGTCGAGGGCAAGGGAAGGCTGGACTGGCCGGGAGCCGGGAGGCAGGCAGGCTGTACCCTTTCGAATCGGAAGTCGGGATTTAAAGAACACAACAGTCGAATTAAAGGGACGGTCCGCGCCCGCCCTACGACCCGCGACCCGCGACGCGTGATCGATATCACTAGTCGCAGGTCGCGATCCTTTTCGTCCAAATACAATCGTATACGTGTACAGTCGGAAGATTAAATAGCTGTAAAGTGCTGTAGTGCGGAGACGTCGGAAGTCGGAGGTCGGAGGTCGGAGGACGATATTCAATATTGACCGTCGCGCGGCCGTCGTTGGCGCGTCTAGCCCAGGAGGCGCGACCGAACCGCGAGGAAATTCAAACGTCGACAGCGAAAAGCGAAAAGCAAAGAGAGACGAGTGGCCGGAGGAAGCTCCTTCTCTCATTCTCATTCCCTCTCGTTCGCGTTGACGGTTGATGGTTGATGGTTGATGTACGGTACATGGTATGCGTACAGATTTCAGCGTTACTCACTTCATGTTTGCTTGGCCGGTGAGCGTATGCTATGCCTTCATGCAAGCCGTATTCCTGCTTCTGCACAGTATATCACCGAGCCCATGAAAACACGCGAGATTCGGACAAGACTTGCGGTAGTTCGACATATAAATAACGAGAGAACGAGTCTGGCGCGCGGCACTAACACCACCGTGACACCCTGCCGCTGCCGCTGCACATCTGGCCGGCCATATTGCCGACTCCGAATTCCTACTCCCCTACCCTACCCTACCACCCACCAACAGGACCTACTACACAAGCACACCCTACACTACACTCACTACAGTCACTACACAGTCTACAGTGTCTACACCCCGACACCGCCTCGCGCGACGTACATACGCATGTATGCACGTATATATGTACGTACATACACTATCGGGAGCGGGAGCGGGAGCACCTTAGGAGCACCTGGCGCCTGGCGGCGTTGCACGCCATTGCACGCGCTGCACAGTGCACAGCGCTGTAACGCGAACGAGCCAACGAACCAAGTTGCGCCCAGCCGTGTACGATCATGCACGATGCAGTAGAGTTCCGCCGCTCGTCGCTCCTTGGCAAAGGGCGACGTCCACTCCGTAGTGGTCGTTTCCCATCTTTTCTTCTTTACTTTAACAATGACAATGACGTATCGAGGGATCAAGGAACTTAAAGAACAAAAATACCTAGATCGAGCAGGATGCATTTGCAGGGCTGCGTTCCAAAATTCACTCTAGTTAACTAAAATGCTACAGTGTATATGTGACATAAACTATAGATTTTGTTACCCACAACATCCAGAGTGAATTTTGGAACGCAGCCCAGCAGGGGACCTATAAAAAAATGCGAAAATTTCGAACAAAAAAAAGTTTCGAGCTCCCACACAACTACTTGTCTCTTTCTATATTCCTCAACACGAAAGATGAAAAAAATCTTGCCGCCGGCTCCGTCCTATAAATATACAATGTCGATGATGCATCCTACAGTCTAGAGTCTAGTCAGAGAGAAACCTGAGAGAGGCCATATCCGGCCTTTTTCGTGGGAACGCATTTTCCGACGCGTCGCCTGAGAAAGTGCATCTCAACCAAGTACGTCGTTTCGGTCGGTAACTGCACATGGTTTGCGTCCGTGCTAATGGTTTGTGTCCCAACTAGCCAGCTGGAGGGGATATATGCTGGCCGCGGCGGCCGCGCTCGGCTGGCCCGGCGCTCGGCAAGCTTCGAGCGAGGAGAGAAGGACAGACAGATCTGCTGTCTCGACTGTTTCCTTCTCTCTTGAGCTATGATGTGTAGCTGCTTTGGCACGCGCCGGCCGGCTATGCGACGTTGCCAGTTGCCACGATGCCACGATGCCGTCTCCTTCTCAAAGCAGCTACATAGCCCAGTCACGAGAGACATTTAAATGGAATTAATTCCGGGAAGCAATTTTTTTTTTTACTGTTTTGGAGGGTCCGGGGTAGTCTAAAACCGGATTTTCGGGCGTCTAACCCTGGAGCGTTAGCCGCCCGTTTGCGTAGAAGGATGCGTTTGTAATCATCTCGCTTCGTTTCAACTTTAAAGTGAAAGTGGTACGAACCAAACTTGTAGAAAATTTAATACTCTACAATTTTGGTCCTTGGCATTTTTCACCTACGATCGATCGTTTGGGTCTTAGACTCGAAAATGGGGGGGTGTGAAATTTTTTTTTTTTTTTTTTTTTTTATTTACTTGGTATAATTAAAAACATCTTTTCCACATCACCACGGAGGTAGAGTTTATGGCGCGTTTATTCAAAAAATTAAAAAAAAATAAAATTTTACCCCCCACTTTCGAGTCTAATAAGACCCAAAATATTGATCCTAGGTAAAAAATGATAAGGACCAAAATTGTAGAGTATTAAATTTTCTACAAGTTTGGCTATTACCACTTTCACTTTAAAGTTGAAAATAAGCGAGATATTTACAAAATCACCCTTCTAATCAAAATGGCGGCTAACGCTCCAGGGTTAAAATCCCGAAAATCCGGTTTTAGACTACCCCGGACCCTCGAAAACAGTCAAAGAAAAAAAATCGCTTCCCGGAATTAATTCCATTTCAGCGGTTTTTTCGGGTTCTATTGACTGGGCTAACACGTCATAGCTCAAGAGAGAAGAAGGAAACAGCCGAGACAGCAGATCGTATGTCTGTCCTTCTCTCCTCGCTCGAAGCTTGCCGAGCGCGGCTGCCACAGCCAGCATATCCCCTCCAGCTGGCTAGTTCGGACACGAACCATTAGCACGGACGCAAACCATGTGCAGTTGCCGAGCGAAACAACGTAGTTGAGTTGCACTTTCTCAGGCGGCGCGTCGGAAAATGCGTTCCCACGAAAATGGCCGGATGGTCTCTCTCATGCCCGTTCTAGACTGGAGGATGATCCTACTCTCGGCTCATCCTCCTTTCTATAGTGTGCTATAGTGTACGTGACATAAACTATAGATTTTTACCCGTCTACACTACTACTCGGATGAGCCGAGAGTAGGATCATTCTCCAGTCTAGAGCTGCGTTCCGATATTCACTGTCAGTACTGAAAATCTATAGTGTACGTTACGTAAACTATAGATTTTCAGTACTTGCAGTGAATATCGGAACGCAGCCTAGAACGGGCATCAGGTTTCTCTTATTTGACTAGACTCTAGACAGTCTAGACTGTAGAGTCTAGTTTCCGCATTACCGACGCGACGGCGACGTTCGCGGTTCACACGGTTTGCCCTCTCGCCGCCGTGCGGCGGTAGCGTCGCGTACCCTGGCGACCGAGCGGACCGAGCCGCGGCCTCGAGCCTCGAGCCGCGGCCGGCGCGGCGGTCCGCGGCCCGCGAGCAGCACTAGCAGTGGCACTAGTGGCAGCAGTGTCGCGAACGGCGAAAGGCGAAGGTAGTGCGCGGATCTTGACGCGTGTCGCGCGAGCGCGAGCCTCACGCGAGTTTACCTTGATGTGAAAGTGCCGGGGGGATTGTAAATCTCTGCGATAATCGTGGCAACGCGCAGCCGGGGTGATCGCTCACGTGTTGACGCGATACAATCGCGCGAGCGACGCGCCTTCCCTCGCTCGATTCCGACCTGACGTGATCGGCACCGCGGTCGGCAGTCGGCACGGCGCGCACCACCGCGCACGGAGCTGGGACGGTGGGACCAGGGACGTCCGACGTCGCCGAGAAACGCCATTTTGTGGTCGCGCTGTCGGGACGTAAACATCGGACTTGACAATTGTACTTGACGCGACGGGAAGGTCGCCTGGCGAACGGGTCTCCGCCCGAGCGGCTCCTCCGTGGCCCTGTGCGGCCCGACGACCTCGGTTCCGCGTCCAGGGCGACCGTCGCGGCACGAAAGCGTCCCGTCTCGTGACTGACGCGCTGACGTTTCGCGCCAAATCCCAAGTCGTCTACGCACACCTGGCGCACACGCCACACGGTGTGACGGGTGACGGGTGACGGTGCGCGTACGGCGCACCCCGCGCCACGAGAAACAGCTGTCGTTGCGGCGCCGATCGTGCGGCGATATCGGCGATATCCACCGACCAAGACCAGGTAACCGGCGCGCGGCGCAGCGTCGAGGCCAACGATTCGATTGCGAGCGGCCTACCGACCGCAACCGCCGCAACCCGCGACTCATTTTATCACTACTCACAATTAGTTTTTGAGACAGTGCGCAATGTTCCGAATATTCCGCGTTCACGCGTTACGTGTTACGTATCTAGCTCTTGTTTACGTGTGATGCGTCATTACAGATGGCCGCGGGCTACCAAGTCTCGAGACGCTGGAGTCTGGAGTCCTGACTGTGTGGAGTAACGACACTACGGACGATTAAATCGTACTCGTCCTTTGTCGGGGCTTTGAACTTGAACGTTTTTCGTTTTGTTTCTTTTGTTTCTGCGCACTTCAGATCAGACTATAATCTGATTGTAATTCGAGACCTTCGGAGATGTACTTGTCATAAAGTTTCAGAGACGCTCAATCGGCGACGTTTGTTTTCATAGGGATTAACTGCCCTTTATTCCACGATAATTATTCCACTTGATCTGACAACTAATTTTTTTACCGCAGTCCTAGCATCCGTTGTGTCTTTTAAATATAATATAAATAATATAAATCTTTGATACACACACACACACACACACACACACGTTGACGTTGTCAACCAACGATAATATCCTATTCTTTTCAGAATCACGGTGTGTAGCGAGAACTTTACGCCCTGCATAGAACTTGGGTATGGGAATAACGAAAATGACCGTGACAATTATTTGCAAGTGAATATTTTATCGACTAAGATTTGAAGATATGCTTTTTGTTCGTGCAAAGAGGCTTGATGAGTACACAAAAGTATAAGGAATGGTATTCTATTGGATTCAGCTGGATGTCAGATAAGCTGAAAAATGTCTGGTGATGCAGGATGGAACGCCGTTATTCACCATCCTTCCGACTTAGAATTGCAGACGTGGAATTGGGAAGAAAACGATGGGGAGCAAGAGAAAGAGCTCCCTTCAACCGTTGACATGGATGCCATAAAAGGTGGCGGTAGTTGGGATCCTGCTACTGAACCTAATGGTATCTTCAAAATTCATACCGCTAGGTATAACGTTCATAACTTAAACTGCTGTTGGATTAAATTTTTTTTTGTTTCCTTTAAATTACAGGAACAGATTCGGTCGATTCCGAAGAAGATTCTGATTCCGACGACGAAAGCTCTGGTGGAAGCGAAGGCAGTTGCTCTTATTCGGATTCTAATTCTGAGTCAGACGACGAAAGTAGCGGCGAGGAAGAGGATAGCGGATCTAATTCCGACTGTTCGTCCGAACATAGCGAACAAACATTTTCCATTCAAGAAACTAATTTTGAACAAGTGCGTTAAAAGACACGTATTTTTAAAATTGTTATTTATTGCTTTATTCCCGCGACTTCTGTAAAAAGATATTTTGTCGTACGTTGCAGGGAGCATTGAAATTGAAAATCACCATGAAAGGTCCAAAGAAAGAAGAAAACTCCGAGAAAATTAAATGTGAGAAAAGTAAGAGAACCGTCACGAAAAAGGGCAAGACCACGCATGGGACTAAGGTGATTGTAATAAATAATTTTTTTAATTTATGAGAATATATGTGAGTTATGTACGTTGTGTCTTGATTTTTATTCTACGTCGAGACTCCGTTTTTTATCAAAATACAGTATACAATATATATTATTTATGTAACGTCACATATGAATTGATGCAGTCCTCAGAATGTAGCGAAGACTCAGACTCATCTGTGGGCCACGCGGCGTCGCAACAAGCACAGCAACAACAGTCGCAACAACAACATCAGCATCACCATCACGCGCCGCTACAAGAAATCAATCAGGAAGATTTAGCGACCATCTTGCCTACGCAAGAGCAAGAAGACGCGCCATTCGATGGATTTGAGGATTCGGAGAGCGGTCGGCTGGTGTCAAAGGCGATCGAGCGCATGTCGCTCGGCGCGGACTCGGACACGAGTGAAAACGGCGATCAGAATCCCGTGCCTGTGTACAGCTCCACTTTGTTGCAGCAATTTGTCGAAAAGACTGCCATGCTGTCGGAGCCACGGAAGAGGCGCAGCAAATGCGGCAAAAAATTGAACAACGATAACGAGTACCCATGCGTATCGAACGTGTCGCCCGACTCTGGTATTCAGTCGGTGGACAATAGTCCGTTACACCTAACGATCAGTCCTGTCAGTCCTCCAGCGCCGACTCAATCCCCGATCCAATCGTCTATCGCCACTAAACCGGCAGTGAACGTCGATCGGGTTCTCTATCCACCGAAAAGGAAACCTGGTAGACCAGCAAAAACAGTGTCTACGCAACCACGCGGACCCGGCAGGCCGCGTTTAAAGCCGGAAATCGTCGAAAAGATCCAAAAGATCGAGAAAGCGGAGAAAGAACGAAACGAGTCTTTAAAAAATCTAAAAAATCCCGAACCTCGATTAACGGAAAAGAAGGAAGCTGCAAAAGACGCGAATACTGGAAAGAGCACGAAAGAAGACGCATCTTTGATTAGGAAGCGGGGTAACGCAAAGCCCGTTGCATCGAGGGAAATGAAGAAAGAGGACGCATCTCCTGCGAGTAAAAGATTAAAGGGCAAAACGACGTATCAAAAGAAACGTTACGGTAACTCGGTGAAAAGCTCTTCGCGGGAGAAGACGATGGTGAAGAAGACCCCCGGGGAAACGAGTTCCCCGATGAGAGTAAAGTGCCTAAGCAGATCCACCGCGAGCAAGCTCGTGCCACAGTGCGATGGTAGGACCTGCCGAAAGGTAAGGCAAGATAGAACATGCGTGTCTAATAAGACGACGGTTCCGTTGACACGACAGAAGCAAACGTCTTGCGAGCATCACGTTACGAACGATCAAAAGATGTTGAGCATCAATAAGAGAACGGGTTCAAAGGAGAATAGGAATAACGCGGTCGCCGTCGTCGCCAGAAAACTAGCCAAGAGAGTCGCGCCTCCAACCACTAGACGTGTTCTAAAAGAGAACAAATGCAACAAGAAAACTACCGTAGCGGGCTTTGAGACCAATGGCGTGGGTGTGCAGACGTTAATATCGTTGCCAATCGGCGACGTGTTAAAGGCAGAAAATATGGAGCGAGCTTGCTCGGCTTCCAACAAGTGTGACAAGCCGATGCAGCCAATACAACACAATCATTGTCACAAACATCATCATCATCATCATCATCATCACAAACATCGTCGGAGACTGCTCGCGCCACCGAAGAATCCCATTCGCATCGATCCATATATCTTCCAGGAACTGGAGAAATTGATCGAAGAATTTGCAAAGTTGTGTAGTTTGGGCAAGAACAACACCAGCGTCACGCATTCCGAGTTACCACAAATCTTCCGCGTAAAGAAACTCACGAAAAAGAGAAAAGGCGGCGATGTCACGGCGAATGACGATCAGAAATTGAAACGGCGCTTGAAAAAGGAAAAGATACTAACGGGTACTGACTCCAAGAGCAGCGCCAACACTAGCACGAGTTCCAATCCGAACGAGCAGCGGTTACCATTGAAGAAACGCCACTATCATGTGTCGAGTCCGCACAGTTCGCAAAGCTCGAACGCGAGCTGCACCGATGCGAATGCGAACGAGTCCACGTCCACGGAGACCCATATAGAGGAAGCGATTGAAGCTACTATTACGAGATATGGTGGCGGTAGCTCGAGATCCTCCATTCACGACGAGGAGGCCATGCCGGTGACGCCGAAGAAAAGACCAAGAGATACCGAGAGCGCGGCATCTGAGAAACAGGGTAGCGACGAAGATAAATCCCCTAGTCAGGTAGAGGTTCAACCACGCCGGAAGAAAAAGATTGTCAAGGATCTTCGTGTCACCGTCACGAAATTGTCATCCGAAAGTCACGGCTTTCTCGACAAGACGGACAAGGAGAAGTCCGCGGATAAGAGTTCCAAGATTGCCACGGAGAAATCTGGTAAATCGGAAAAGACAGTCGTCGCGGAGAAGTCGTCTAAGACCGATAAAACGCAGTCAAACGACAAAATAGATATTGAACACGTTCGTACGGAAAAGAGTATAAAGGTCGACTCAGAGACGCACGTGTCCGAGATGTTCGATAACGGTGAAACTGTGATCGAGAGCAAGGTAGCTCAGATCGGTACGTTGAACGTGCCAAATCTCATGAATAATACCGCGACGATGACACTCACGAAGAAGAAGATACGAAGACGGAAAGCCATTAATCGCACGGGCTTTCCTACTCTGAAGAAAAAGAAGAAGAAGCTCGTAGATTCTCCTAGAATGGTCAAGTCAACGGTCGTGGCCAGCGCTAACGGGATATGTAAAGATCAGGACATAGTCGAAGATATAGAGGATAATAAGGCGTCTTTGATGGCAAGCAAAGCTCAGAACGTTATGGAGAACAGCGATAGTACGGGACATGATAAAAGTGATGTGAAGACGTTGAATAATTCTAATACGGTGCAAGAGACATCCAGTCGAAGTGGTTCGGATGAGGTAATCGAGTCTTGTCCCGGTCAGCTGCGAGTTCGTAAGGATCTCGTGGAATCCGACAGCAGCGTGCTGTCCGAGAAGCTATATCCGAGCCCGGTAAAGTACGAGAAAATACCGGACTGTCGGATCTATGACGAGAATGCATCGTTGGAGGAATCCCTTGAACGTTACAATCAGAATCAACGTATTGCGGAGCTAAATGAGGAGAATTTAAGGAAATTAGAACGCGCGACGGCTCAGGTGGCGACGGTCAAGATGGAATTATCTGGTTGTTTTAACACGAATCACAAAAGAAGAAGAGGCTCGACCAGTCCTTCCAATCTATATTCCAATTTCGGGAGAAGCACAAAGAGATTAAGAAGCGCGGGCTATGATACGGAAAGCGAGGCACCGCCCAGCAGCGACGTGGCCAGCGAGGATCAAGAGGTCGGTAGGAAACCCACAGCAGGTCCCATTCATAACCGGAAGAAACAGTCGAGGTGGAAGAAGCGATATTTACAGGCCAGCCGCATATTCTCCGAGTACAAGAAGGACCTCGAGTCTAAAAAACTCGCCGGTGTCGATGCCAAACGAAAAATTATCGTTTGCGCCAATTCAGACGAACATTATGCTGCGGAGCACGTACCAAACATTATACCGACTGGAAAACTGTTGCGACAGAGGAAAACGCCATTTCAACTGCAGTACGATTTATTGTGGCTGCACGCTCAATCGAGATTACCCGGTCGAGATTTGGTGCCATCGTGGAATTACAAGTAAGTAAAATGTTCTCTTTATTTAATTCCAGATATGTCTGAACTACGAAGCACGTTTATATGTTACATATCTCAAGCGTGTATATAACATCGTGTGAATATAATCCGTTTTAAATTTTTTATACACATAAAAGAAATTAAATTTAGAAATGTGCACGGATGTTGCGTGTATTTTTTTTGCAGAAAAATTCGAACCAACATTTATTATGATGTTAAACCAACTACTCTCTACGAGGCGCAAGCCTGTGAATGTAAACCAGAAAGCGGCTGCGGAGACGATTGTATTAATCGCATGGTATTCAGCGAATGTTCGCCACAACTGTGCCCTTGCAGCGACAAATGCGAGAATCAAAAGATTCAAAAGCACGAGTGGTCGCCAGGACTACAGAGATTCATGACGGAGGACAAAGGGTGGGGAGTAAGGACGCAACAAGCTATCAAATCCGGGGACTTTATTCTCGAATACGTGGGTGAAGTCGTGTCAGAGAGGGAGTTTAAGTCGAGGATGGCGACCAGGTATGATTCTTTTCACTACGCTAAGTATCAAATCAATTTTTTTCATTCTTATTCTTTTTCCACTTTCATAAAATTAAAAAAGGATAAAAATAAAAATAAAAAGTATATGAAAATGTGTAAAACGATAGATACGCCAACGATACGCATCACTATTGTTTGCATCTGGACGGTGGCCTAGTGATCGATGGTCATCGCATGGGAGGTGACGGAAGATTCGTCAATCATTCGTGCGAGCCGAATTGTGAGATGCAAAAATGGAGTGTTCTCGGGCTGCCACGTATGGCACTATTCGCATCGAGAGATATTAAACCAGGAGAAGAATTAACGTACGATTACAATTTCGCGCTTTTCAACCCATCGGAAGGACAGCAGTGTAGATGCGGTAGTAATGCTTGTAGAGGTGTTATAGGTAAAAATTTATAAAAGATGACGTATCTTCGCGCGCAAGTGTCTGATGATTCAGTTGCAAAATTCTGTACGGCAGGTGGAAAGAGTCAAAGGGTAGCTCGAAGCATTCCTTCTCTACCGTCGCAAATGGAGACTATCGAAAGAAGATCGGTGGGCAGACCACGGAAAAACATTCGTAAATCGAACGCGGTGCAATCGGCCAACTCCAAGAACATCTGCAAGTCTCGCAAAGTAGGAGATCCGACCTTGACGCACAACACGCCGCACGTGAAACCCATGTCTTATCAGCAACGATGCTTCGCGCGTGAACATCACTGTTTCTTGTTGAGGAATCTGGAGAAAGTGCGACGACTCAAATCGGCGTCGGTACAGCAAGTTCAAGTACAGAACGGGAAAGCGAAATCCGGTAACGCGAGCGTGGCGAAGGAAAAGAGTTCGGGAGACTCTAAAGCGCAATCCGATGCATTTTTCTCTCAATTAACTGCGCTGACCAACACCAACGCGCGTACTGTACGAACGCGTAGACTCGCACAGGCACAGGATGATCCGGAGGTACATAAGACTGCAAAGCTAGCCAAGGTCAGTAGATGGTTCATTTATCGGAAATAATAATAGAAAAAATGACATTAACAAAGAGTTGTAATGAGAATGTAATGACATTACATTCCATTATTGTATTGTAGACTAAAAAACCGAGTGTCGTTGTAATATTTTATTTTTTACAGGTATTAAAAGATTTATACACAATTGTTACAACAGCGAATGATGAAAACGGTCAGCTGTTGTGCATTCCTTTCATGACTTTACCTCCTAAAAGAAAATTATCCGATTACTATGAGAAGATCGTAGAACCCATCGATCTGATTACGATAGATCAGTGCATTGGTACTGGTCATTACAAAACTGCGGAACAGTTTGATCAGGATATGATAAGACTTTTCGACAACAATGTGAGATTCTTTGGTAGAACATCTGAGATAGGAATCGCTGCGGCGAGATTACGGAAATTATACTTGGGAAGTAAACCTGATTTTGTGGACGCTATAACGGAGGCGACAGGTTCTCCGCCGTCTCAAGGCTTTTTACCACCTCGTGGATCTACGGCTGGAGAGGAGGATGTAATCAGATGCATTTGCGGATTACACAGGTAAATTAATCACATTGATTCGTGGTCTAATATGCATTCAACTGTATTCAAAAGTAGAATGAGATTAGACACACACACACACACACACATCTATGCGCGCGCGCGTTATATTTCCCTATAGAAATATGTATCTTTACTTTAAAAAAGTAATTTCTTTTTCTTTTGTTGTACACATCATTATCTTTTCTTTAAGTATATCTTTATTGATCATTTTTTACAGAGATGAAGGTTTGATGATCCAGTGCGAACGATGTCTTGTTTGGCAACATTGCGACTGTGTTAAAGCAGACACGAGCGTCGAATCTTATCTATGTGAAAGATGTCAACCTCGTGAGGTTGATTTAGAAATTCCATTAGAAGGCGAGGAAGAAGAGGAAGGCAAGAAGCATTACGTGACGCTGATGCGAGGCGATCTGCAACTCCGACAAGGCGACACGGTATACGTTTTAAGAGACACGCCTGACAAACACACGTACAAAACTATACAGAAGCCCGATTACGAGCAGATGGACATTTTCAGAATCGAACGTCTATGGAAGAATCGCGAGTAAGTGGTCGTTTTATATTATATATGTATAACACGTAGGTCAAAGCGTATCCATTGAAAACTTGAACTATAGATTTTAAAATTTAATCATTTATTTAATAGAGGCGAGAGGTTTGTCTTTGGACATCATTATCTCAGACCTCATGAAACATATCACGAGCCAACGCGAAAGTTTTATGTAAACGAAGTTGTGTGCGCTCCGTTATACGAAGCTGTTCCTTGCGATCTCGTGGCTGAGCGATGTTGGGTATTGGATCCTCATACTTTTTGTAAAGGTACATATATATATATATATTAGCGTTTTATTCGAGCCTATCATTGCATATGCCATTACTCGTTATTTTGTAATGGAAACTAACTTTTTTATTACACGTGCTTTTGAATTAAGGACGTCCTGTCGGCTCTACTCCTGAGCATACTTATGTATGCGAATATCGCGTTGATCGCGCAGCACGACTTTTTACAAAAGTGGCTAGAGCCAGGCATACAGTATGCACGAAACCTTACGCATTTGAAACCTTCCCACAACGTATAAAACATTATCGCACCTACTTGGTAAGAGCGATTATAAGTCTATCAAAATCATTTTTACATTAGTACTTGACGTATTAAGTATGTTAAGTAATATTTAATTTTATTTCCAGCCTCATAGTCTCGATGGAATCAAGATGTTTAAAGATAAGAAGAAGAATAGCACGCAGGAAGTAGATGGGAATCAAAAGTTGGAATCCAACGATAACGTAAAGACGCACAAAGAACACAAATGTGGTAACAGGACTAGGCAGAAGTCGGGCGAGATCTTGACGGTCGCACCACCTGCAACGTTGTACGCTCAAGTACGTATTGCGAAGGATCACTATTTGTTGTACACGTATGTACGATATTGGTGTTTGACATGTTATCATTCGCAGCGGGAGGAGCAGAGGAAAAAATTGAACATTATTCTACTAAATCTACTACAGAGAATGCCGAATAAGAAAGATCCGTTGGATCTGTCGTTTCTTCTAGAAAGGAACAGGCGAAATCGGAAGAGACCCGGCGGACTTAATCCGTGACAGTGGGTAATGTCACAACGATAATATCGTATTGTATATATAGGCTAATCTAGAGTTACTACTAATTTCGATCTTAGTCAGATTAATAGGCTGGTTGATTCCAATCGTTCTAAACTTGGTTCTGCTACAGCTACGTGAATCAAGATACGTGTACATCTATCTTTTCCCCTCCCCTCCCCTCCCTTCCCTTTTCTTCTCCTCGCCCTCTTAACGAGGAAAGCGTGAGAGAAATTTTTCCTCTTCGTATAACCCGTCCATTGGTGTAATTTATATCTATATCTATATAGGTATATATATAAAATAGCCGAAATAATATTTAACATAGACAAAATTGTCGATTGATATTTTTTTACATTTTTTTTCTTTTTTATAGATGTCTTGTCATGAACGACTAGATCTTAACATGTATTTTTTTGTTAACTTTCATGACCAGGCTACACGTAGTCGTTAGTCATTAGTCAGATGTCGGAAGAAATAGTCATAAACGTATCGAAAGGCAATCGGAAGTCTGTAATCGATGATCGAAGAGATGGCATTTGGCCAATCGCTCACGATCGCCTTACGATACGCTTATGATTTTTTCCGACCCTCTTCCGACATCTGACTAACGACTAACGACTCATTGTAGACTGGCCATCAACCTTTTAATTACCGGCGATAAAATAGGTATATCTGTTGATTTATACTTTAAACTGAGTAGACTATGCTCATTTTATCATAATTAGGATATTTAAGCGGAAGAAAAGTAATCGAAAGTTAAAACTTAAGTGTACGCGATTCTCCTGCGACGTGGTTTATTATATTAATATAATTGTAAATCGCGGACTTGTATAGAAAATGTTTTGTACATTTTTTTTTAATAGTTAATATAGCTAAATGTACAAACTATACATTTTGTGGGTTTAAAAGAATAAACGTTATGTCAGTGCGAGCGGTAAGAATCTAAAGAATCAATCATATGGGAATATGGATACAAGCGTGTGTGTATTTACATATATATAATGCTTTATTGCACAGAAGTAATATTATATTTTTCATAATCCCTCGATATTATATTTGAATCACGTGTAACATACTTTCTTCACTTTATGAAAGAACCTTTACTAATGTATTTAATTTATTGATATAATGAATAGTCGAACGCGATCGGAGATGGGTCGCAGTGATTCCAAAATTGTACATATGTGTACTCAGGACTTCATATTTATTATTGCATTACACAGTATGGTAGATACATATGACGATAAATATATTTGATACATATGAATCTTACTCTTTTCTTTTTCTCGCGTACTAAACTGTATTATCCATATATTATATTTACTTTTATAGAAACTTGCAGCATTACGTTTGTTTCAACGTAAGACGAAAGTATTAAAAGTAATATTATTAACACATTATATTTTATATAATGGCCGTGAAATTAATACGAGATGTATTTATTTTGTCGGAGAATGAAAACATTTTTCTTTTATAACTATTCCTATATTCGGAGTATTAGCAACAAGTACTGAAATATTTATTATATTGTGTAATTCAAAAATAAAATAAAAAAGAAAAGATTCGAAGCTGGCCTTCTATGTAAAGCTAGTGTATCATAAAAAAGGGATACACGATATGTGAGCAATTTTTGAAAAAAAAAAAAAAATTAAAATAATGCTGATCTACGTATGCGTTGATTTTAGTGAATTATAAGAACATCGAACACAGAATGTCATCGCGGTGCATTTTCCATGACATACAGTTGCATTATTTTATTCTATTATTTTTACGAGATCTTTATTCGTTAAGCACGTGTAAAATGCAACTTATATCTGTATCATATTGATATCGAAAACAATGTTGGCGTAAAAAAGAATAGAGTATCACAATTTATTTTAATATATGTACGTACAATCTTATATATGGCTTTTGTTACCATACAGCCATATACGAATGTATGCTTCGTGAGATATTTTTAGCGATGCGGACGTGCTTTACTAATTAATAATTATATATTTCTGTTTGTTTTTATCTCCGTATCTCCGTGCTTTCAGATAGCGTATACATATTATTGTTTTAAGAATAACATTTCATCTATGTTTGTAGATGGACAAATCTCTTCTCAATCTTTTCATCAGCTATAATGACATTACAACTAATAATGACATTAACACGTATGCGGCATGTGTAACAACGATCATCTTAATCAAATATTTTTATTGAAATCGTATTATATATTAGAATGCATAAATTATGTTATTAAATATTTCGTACAATATGGTAATATATGAAGAGATATTATATAGTTTATAATTGTATGAACAAAAAGTTTTTCGATTATATATAATTTTATTCATTTATATTATATTATTAACAAGGTTTAGCGAGGTCGACAGAAATATATAACATGTCGTAATAAAAGAATCATTATATTTTCATACATAAAGATCGGCAAAATCATTTTTCTTTTCAGGTCCAAAATAACTTTCGTCTTACGTTTATTGAATTTTTTTAATAGTGAAGAAACGCGATTTTTTATATTTTATATCAAGTGATTTTATTTTCTGCACATCATGATTAATCGTCGTTTGACGTGTAATATATGCATATATCAATGCGATACATTAGCGACATTTTTCAGCTCATCATTCGTAACAGTAGCTGTGTAATAACTTGTCTCCTGAGTTTGCTTATACATATAATTAACACTATTATAATACATTTAGATATAATCAAAAGAAATCTTGGAAAAAAAATACGTTTGTTGCGACGACAGCTTTCAAACATGTAGTGCATGTACAGACTATTGTATTCTGACGAACAAAAATATACATAAAAAGTTTCCTTACACGAATTTGCCATACACGTATTTTTGCTCATTTCAATCTGTTCTTTTTAATAAAAATTTACGCTACACAAGATTATCGCTATACAAAAGAGCCTAGCATAAAGTTGCACATTATCTATAGATATAAAAATGCAGATAAAACCCAAAATAAATAGAAGAACCTTTTTATTTTTATGAATATGTTTGTACATTTTTGTGTCAACAATTAAGTTTACAGGTTATGCATTAATTTTACTTTGCATCATATAGAAAAGAAATTACTATGCGTGATTATCGTCGTTACATAATGCAGCCCATAATGCGGCTGTTTTTTTTCTTTTTTTTTTTTTTAATTCTTCGCTTATGGTAACACAGAGGTACTAGCATATGCTACGCGTGTAGGTGTAGGTTAAATAGAGCTCCTGATTATTTCTTAAAAAATAGCTCACCATCTCCCTTTTTCTCTCGTTTCTCCTAATATCTCTTAATTATATCTAACTTTGCGTATCGCTACACTTAATCATTACTTAAATTATTTTCGATTTCACACAGAAGTACTTTAGCTCGGAACATCACACACTGTACATACAATATGTACGGAGAAAAAAAGACGAGCTAATGAGACAATCATTCTCTGAACATAAAAAAAGGATCTTTTCTGTGAATGAATAAGATCGTGAGAAAAAATGGATCATCCATCTTGTTCGTGAGACTTTTTTCCAAAACATTCGCTCTTTCAAACAATATTAAATCATTAAAAGATGATTTGCAGATGTCTGATGCAAGTTACACTTATCATCACTAAATCGTATAATTTTTAATTCATTAATCATGAATCTGTATATAAACACTGATTTGCATTATTATTATTATTCTCAGAATCGATGCTTTACATATGTCATATAGGTATAGGTATAGGTATGTGTACATATACATATACCATGTATATATAAAAATATATCATTGAGATAAGGTGCGCAGCGCTGAAATAGACATCGTGAGGCGTTCGTACTTTATTTCCTCGAGCGAGGATGTAATAGAAAGAAATCAAATTATTCTAGCAGAGGAAGTATACGTAGGGTAACAAATGCATTACGTGAATACCGCATAGAACAGAGATGAGACCACGGTGCGAAATTAAATGTTAAATAGAGAAAATGCTCGGTTCCTTCTCATGCAGTACATTCAAAAAGTATACACGTAGCAAAATTATATTTATGCAGGTGAATAATAACCATATCAGAGAGAGAAGTATTCCGTGTAACTAGAAGATACAGTAACTAGAGCAGGTACAAATATTTCGAACTGTTTAATAAACCAAGTTAATTATCGCAAGCAAGACTTTGTTCGTGTCGTGTTGTGCAATGAAAAATCTGCATGTATAAAACGTGTGTCCAAGAATAATTTATTTGCGCCACAATATTTTTCTTTTTATACATTGTCGGTGGTGTAGAAAGATAATAATAGGGATAAACGATATACAATATATATTTTTTTCTTGCATACTTTTTTGTCTTTCTAAAAGGGCACTGCTAAAAATTTCATTATTAGCGAATTCACTAGTGCGCGACGTCTCTGGTGCAGATTAAAGCCTGTCGCGCCCGCTAATCTGTCAAGACTGAAAAACATATGCGCGCGTGATGAAATGGCCAACAAATAATACCTACACCAAATAGATTAGATAACTTACGCTGGACTTTAGAAACCCCGATCTGGAGTTCAACTGCTTACGCATACATTATTAATGTCAATTATATGTCAAATTATACGTCACGTTGCATACGACAGTTTTTAACGTGCACCGCGGCATTCAAGCAAATTCGCTAAATCTGTTCAATGTATAAATAGATATTTTTCTGCGTAATTTTTTTACTTTAGATCTGTACATATTTACATGAATTTTTGAGAGTGCGTGCTATCTTTTCTTTTCGTCTTTTAATACTACTTGCATGGCTTGTACCCATACGTAGTACTCTTCCTCTTTCTCTTACCTTTTCTCCTTACAGTTTTTAAAGATGCGATAAAAAGTTATATTCTTTCTCGCGAATGTTACCGTGTCGTTAATGCACTTATATTATTAGACCTGTGTTACCGGTAAGAATCGAAATTCATCAGCATCACGTATATTTCAAAATTGATTTTCTCACATGCATTTGTTGCAATGCAAGGGAATTTTTTGTTTTATAATGCTTGTAATGTCTTTGCACATGGAGATGAAAAAATCGTGCAAATCTTTGTTGAAGCTAAGAAAGCGTAATGCTGTCTGTATCCGCTGTTATGCCGATGTAATATTCTATGTATAACATCGCAAAAACTCAAACATATATATATATAATATATATATAACGTGTGTGGTATAAATTCTTTTCTCTACTTATGTGAGTGAGATTGTTACGTGGTGGTTGCTGTCGCACAGTACTTAGAACGGGTACGCTTGTCCTCGCGCAAAAGTCTGTTATCCTTGCGAGTACGTATATCCTGCTCCCGTATTGGTAGAAGTCGTTGCCACCATATCGTTTGTAATCTCCTGCGAATGGGTATGCAAAATTCATATGCACGTACATGAATAAACGATTTTGACGACCGGATCGATTGACGTGAAAATTGAAACTTTCGGTTTACAAAAACAGCGTTCTATATGTTTATACCTTACATTTATTTTCCGTTCTCGTAACATTTACGGTGGTTGATTTATTGTTTGCTTACAGCTTGGCCGCCAGCTGCAGTAGTCTGCCCACTCTGTTGTTGTTGTTGACCCCAATACTGGTTGTTGTAATACTGTTGATTCCAGCTACCCCAATTGCCGTTGCCGTATCCATGTTGATTGTATCCTGTCTGAGCGTAGGTGCCTTGGCCATATCCCTTCCAACCACCTCCCCACTGTTGTTGTCCCCAGCCGCCACTTTGTTGATTCCAATTTCCTTGGGCCTGGCTATTTGACCACGTGTCCTGTTGACCCCAACTGGACTGTTGCGACGATCCTTGATACGTCCCACTAAAGCGAACACACAGGTATGGTTTTTAAAAATCACTTGTCGAGTCACTCACCCGCGTACCAAGAAAATCTAGATCTTAAAAAAGTGTCTACGAGCCGCTATTACCTCATAGGCCCCCAACCACCTTGTCTAGGCGCAACAGATCGGTTTCTATCGTTTCCTGGTCTCCTATCAACTCCAGTTATTCGTCTGTCTGCTCCACGTGCCATTGCAGGTCCACCTCGTCCTCGTAGTCTCCACGGAACAGGAGGGGGTCCGTAGCCACCAGTATGCCTCATGTAACCACCCCTTTGCTGTCTCTCTCCTCTCCAACCTCCCATATTAGCGCCGCGCCAAAGATTGCGACCTCTATCTTGATCTTACCCATAAACACATGCGATATGGTATTGCGCGTAGTTGAAAAAATAATGGTGAATAATAATAAAAGTACGACTCACAATTGTTTCTTCGATCTCGAATGTCTCGGCTGTTTCGCGAATCACGCGTTTCTTTGTTGCTCTCAGTCTTGTCAAGACGCGGTCGTTTCGCCGTTGATTGTTGACTGAATCCAGCATCTTTACCTTCTTTGTTGTATTTCTCAATAAGTTTCTTAGCTTCTTCCTCATCAAGACCGATCCACTCCACTGCATCGAAAAATTCTCCCACCGAAGGTGCAGTGAACATTGCTATTCGACGTGACATCGATTTGCACATCGTTACTTGCTTAATCGATTTTATTATAACGTAAATAGTCTCTCATGTTTTACAAATACAATAAATACCCTTCATTTCTGCAAGATTAGACTCTGAAGCATTTCCTTCAATTGCATTGTGTGTGGACAAACGTTGATTGTACTCCTCGTCCGTTGGTATAACAACGACCGCTTTCCGCTGATACCCGCAGAAATTCCGCATTTTGCGCCTTTGCACGGATGAATATACGTTGCTCTTCTGCACACACGTATATATAATATATATTACATATATATATATATATATATATATATATATATATATATATATATATATATATATATATTAGATGAGATTGTTTCAAAAACAATGTTTAGATGATTCACGATTTACGTATTCAAACATCTATATTCCTTCACATACGCACGCACACACGCATACCTGATCTAATATGTAGTTACGTCTTCTACCACTTGCCACGTCAATCAGTTGGTCGAGTGCGCGGTTGCACCTATCAATACGTTCTCGCTGACAGGTGTTTTGATCTTGATCTGACAGAGCAATATCCTAGAAAGGAAACGTTGCATTAACAATAAACATTACGTAACTATATAACAAGGTTTACAAGTTTACAATTTTATGGATATACATACCCCAGTTTTCTCAATTAAGTTATGGAGCGCTAAAATATTGTACAATTTATCTGGATGGTCGGCCGCGTGTTTCCTTGCCCAGGTACTTTTTCCTGCCGCGGGCAAACCGCA